GTACCTAATAAAGTGGCCGGTGAGTGTAGACTTTCTTTCTGTTACATTTTTTTTTTACAAGTCTCTATGCTGTAGGCATAAAAAAAAATCAAAATTGCTCTTGTGGACCAGAACAAAATATAAAGAAAAAAAGGTGTTAACTAAATATCAGTTGCCATTTAGCTTATTTTAAACAATCTACACACTGAAAAACTGTTTTTGGCATTTACTTAGTCATATTAATTTAACAAAATTGCTACATGTTATCAGGCTAGGACATAATAAAATTGTGTTAAAAAAGTAAATATGATTAAATAAATGCCAAAAGCAGTTGCATTATTTTTTCAGTGGAGCAATATTTTAATAAAATATCATTTAAAGCTATTTTATTACTCTACCAGTTAGTGTCAGACATGTCAGCTCACTTTTCTGGGAAAACAAAAGCTCACATTTGTTTTTGTTTTTTTTTGTTTTTTTAGGGGGGCGGGCAGTGTTTGTCTAACAAAAAAGCTGTGACTGTTCTAGAGTTTAACAGTAAATCTGTGTCATGTTCTGATCAAAATGCAATAAGAAAACAAGAGCAGAGATGTTTTTATCTACATCAATCAATTGGATGGATTATTACCTTCATCCAGGATCAATACATTAGATTACATTAGATTTACTGTTAAAGAGCTTGTGTGTTAGTGGGGGGGCGGGGGGATCTGTCCCTCAGTGGTTATTGTGTCTGTAAAAGTGGGACAGAGGGAGAGAGAGAGACTTGTTTGGATACGCTGATGGGCCACGTGACTGATCTGGGTGTACTGTTAATCCACCGGAAATAAAACCCTCCTCCTCCTCCTCTTCATATTTAGAACCGACCTGCAGTCTGCAATGAATGAAAACACCTCCTAGAGACCGAAGCAACTCTTTGCTGCAGAGTTAGAGTGAAGCAGTCGATGCGCCACTATGACGTCCATCCCTGCTCTTCTCGCTCTCAGTCTAACATCAGCACTCCTCAGCTGCTCAGCCGCACAATCCTCCATCCGCTGCATATGGACCAAAGTTTCTCCTAACGGCCAAGTCCATGTCAGTTTCCTCCGTGGGGATCCACTCGGGACCCCCCTGCGCCTGTACCACAGCGTGTGGTCCGGGGAGCGCGCGCTGTCCGGGTGCACCTGGAGCGATGACGCAGCGCTCATCCAGAGCTATGCGTCTCTTTGCGGGGGGCGCACGCGCGGATTTTCCGACCGTGCGGCTAATATGTTTGATCTGGACTCTTTGCTTGACGCGGATGAGTGCGTCTCTCTGGCCTCTCCGAGCTTTGAGGGGGAGAAACGGGGGAGACACGTGAGAAGCCTCGGGGATCAGAGCGAGGATGAAAGGTCAGAGGTCAGGATACGCACGCGAGTAAAACGCGGCTTTATTGTTCCTGGGACTCTGTGGTGCGGCTCAGGCAACAAAGCGCCATCATATGCAGATTTGGGTGAGTGATTTTTTTTCTGCACTAAAAAAACCCAAAACATTTATTCTTTTAGTACCTATATTATCAGATTATTTACACTTTAGAAATGCTGTTAAAACTATATAGCAATGGCTGGGGTAACTTAT